GAAGCCGCGTGGGCGCCCCGAGATGGTGCGCAAGGCCAAGTGGGCGCCCCACACCAGGTTACCCCGCAGCTTCCTGAGGGCTGGCTGCCCCGTCTGCCCTCTCATCCCCTGGTGGGGGCGGGCTGACATGTGACCAGGAGTCGGGCAGGAGCAGGTTCAGTCCGCCCGCTGGTTCCTGGCGCCCAGAGCCTTAGGGTTTTAACTCAGCGAGTCCTGGCGACCCCGAGCCGCCTGGGCACCAGTGCCTTTGATAGTTTATACTTGGAATCAATGGAGAACATAGAGAAAAACAACGTGTGTGAGGCTGTGAATCACAAGTGGAATCGGAGTCTTAATCCTTTCCTCTTTTATGATGGTTGAGGTGGAATCAGAGGATTGCTGTTGTGTTCCGTGTGCAACTTGTCTGTTCGTCCCGCCTTCCACCGCCTGTAATTTAAGACTTTCCAGACTTTCCTCCTGCCAGTGGGTCTGTGGTGTGTGTGTGGTACGAGTATGTACATGTGTGTGTTGTGTGGTGGGTGTGAATGGGGATGTGGCTGTGCATACTTGTGGTGTGTGTGGTGTGTGTGGTATGTATACATGTGGCGAGTATGTGTGTACATGTGGTATGTGTACGTGTGGGTGTGCATGTGTGTAGGTGGTGTGCAGTGTGTGTGAATGTGAGTGCAGTGCATGTATGTGTGTGTGTGTGTGTGTGGTGAGTGTACATGCAGGTACGTGTGGTGGGTGTACATGTGTGTACATGTGGTGAATGGCACAGGTGCTGGAATAGCAGGTGGGAGCTGTCTCTCCCTCGTTCTTCCTCTTTGAAATCAATAAAAATAATTTTTTAAATCAATTTTTAGAAACTCTGTGGAAGAGGCTTTTGCAGCTAAGGAAGCAGGCCCGGGTGGGGGTGGGGGCTGGCCGACCTCCTGGGGTCACCGGCTGGTCTGCGTCCTGAGCCCCGGGTGCCAGGTCCCTGAAGATTGGATGTTCGCTGTGGGTGCAGGAGCTACTGCCGCGCCCGCAGGGGGAGTGGGCGCGAGGGGAGAAGGCGGTTTGGACGGAAGTCTGTCACGTGTGTGTGAGGAGCCTGTGGGCAGCAGACCTCCCGGCCAGTCGGTGCTGAGGCCCAAGACGGCCGGCACATCTCCTGTCCTGTCCTGCCCCAGAGGGAGTGGGCGGCTCTGACATCCCGCCCAGGCCATCGATGCGGGAGCTCTGAGACTGTCGGACGGTTGGTGCTGCACCTGCTCACCTGTGTCCATACCTGGGCGGCGTGGTCCCTCCCCGGACACCTCTGAGCCCGGGCTGGGCAGGGAGACCCTCCTTCCCTGAGACGGACCAGCCCTGCTGCCTCCCCCCTGCCTCCCCTCCCCATCCCCCCCTCAGAGACTCCCATATCTCCTTTCCCACAGATCATCACCTTGAGGGATTACGTCCCCAAAATCCTGGGCCCCCAGGCTTTCGGGCAGCACGTGGGCCCTTACGAGGGCTACGACTCCACCGTGGACCCCACGGTGTCCAACGTGTTCACCACGGCTGCCTTCCGCTTCGGCCACGCCACGGTCCACCCACGGGTGTGGCGGCTGGACGCCAACTTCCAGGAGCTCCTGCCCCCACTGCTGCTGCGCGACGCCTTCTTCAGCCCCTGGAGGGTCCTTAACGAAGGTGCCAGCCCCCCTCCTCTCTCTCTCCCTCTCTCCCTCTCTCCCTCTCTCCCTCTCTCCCTTTCCCTCCCTCTCTCTCTCCCTCCCTTTCCCTCTCTCCCTTTCTCTCCCTCTCTCTCCCTCCCTCTCCCTCCCTCCTCTCTCCCTTTCCCTCTCTCAGAGACAGAGTCCACCGCAGCCCCTCAGTGCCAGCGTGCCCCACCGTTCACATGGGCAGTTGGGTAGATCTTGCCAGTCATCGGTGTTTATGGAGAAAGCACGTGTGCTCAGAGCTTTTATTTTTCTATTTAATTTTAAACATATTTTTATTGACTTCAGAGAGGAAGGAAGGAGGAGAGAGAGAGAGAGAAACATCAATGATGAGAATTACTGATTGGCTGCCTCCTGCTGGGGATCGAGCCCACAACCTGGGGTGCCCTGACGACCAATCCGACCGTGACCTCCTGGTTCATAGGTCGACGCTCACCACTGAGCCACGCCGGCCGGGCTGCTGGGAGACTTTAAAGGCTTAGCTGTTCCTCAGAAACACCGTGTCAGGCCTTGCAGCTCAGCATTCACGGGGGACAGTGTCCCAGGCCCGGCTGCCCCCCCGC